CAGTCAAATTTAATTCATCAATAATATGAATGCACATTGTGGTTACTTCTTCTTTCATGTCTTAACAAATGTATGTAATAGAAAATTTTATTTGATTTTTACAATATATAAGAACTCGTTAAATTAATAATAACTATGATATTATGAAAAGAATTAATTTCTAATTCAATAAACATAGAAAAAACCTTAATAAAAAAAATAAAAGAGAATAATTTTCTTAAAGTTAACTTAATATCTTTTCTTCGTTTTATTGATTTTTTGGAGACCGGATGAAACAATACAGTTTTTTTCCTCTATTTTCACCACAAGTAAATATTGTTATAGAGGTATTACCTTATCTTAAATATAAATATCTATTTAATCCTATATTCAACTGTAAGCAAAAAAAATGTATGAAAAAAAAAGAAGAGAGAAAACGGTAAAAAATTGTAAAATATCATAAATTTTATCTTATTTTTCAATTATAAATTAATCATATATTTATTTTAGAGAGATAAAAGAATGGTGATTTTGATTTTTTTTATATTTTCACTTTTTTTAATAAAAGTGAGATTTAATAAAAGTGTTTTTTTTTACTAAACATGAAAAATATTTTCTTTCTATTAATTTTTTATATACCAATCATTCCTATTTTCTATTTTTCCTTCAAACAGATCCTAAGAGAAACATACTTCTGTTTGTAAAAAGATTGGGTGTGTTAAATTTATATTCAATCCTTTATTTGCTCTAGAAAAGAAAAAAAAATCAAATTTAAATTAAAAAATTAAAACAAATATATAAAGTTTTATTTACAGAAACTACTCTTTTTAAGTTTTTAATTAAAAAATTATTCATTATCCATATTTTAATATTCTCTATTTTTCCCTCTAATCCGAATATATAATAAAATAATTGTGAGCGCATACGTGCTAGGTATTAAAATATTGTGCTTGTAAGTCTCTTTTCCTTAATGTTTATTTTTATTTATCTGTCATCATGTTCAGTTAAACTTTTAATATTTTGTAATGAGAGGTCAACTTATTTTTTATTTTAGTAAAGTAATTAAGCCTTTTTTTTTAAATCCCCAATTATTTGTGCTATAACAAAGTTTTCAAATATTATTTGGAAAGTACTATGATATCATCATCAGATGTGACAGGAATATTCTTTGGCTGATTTAAATATAAATAGAACAAATAAAACTCCCTCTTATGTAACATAATATTAGTACAGTCTTGTTAAATACATGAGTTACTCTACTGAATTTAAAGTTGAACTATAATTTTACTTTTAATTTACATAAGTATTATATTATTTTTCTTATTGGAATAAATAATTTAATCCTTTTTACTTAACACCATAAAAATATTCTTTAACTAATTTTGAAACATATATATTTATACTTAAAATTTTACTAAAATGTTTTTAATTGGTTTTTGGATGGATCACCAAATTAATTACAATTAAACCGCGACTTTTGAATTATTATACTGTTAACTAAAAAAATTAATATTAATTATAATTTTTTTGTATATAATTTTTTAATCTAGTAATAAACATTTGATTTTAATAAAATTTATGAAATTATTTTTCCTATTGATGTTTGATCGAATTTATTATTAAAAATATATAAACAACATTTAATAAAAATAAAATAAAAGATGTGTTATAAAAAATAAACAATATAGGATATTAAAAAAATAACAAAGTTGAATATTATAAATAATATATCTAATTTAATCTTGTAAAACTAATTATAGTAACTTATATAATATATCATATATAATTATATCTCATATCGAAACGAAATTTCATTGAACTCCTCGTTGAAGTAAGATTTTTTGTCTTTTAGGTTATTAGATTTAATCTACAAAGCTAATTTAATAAACTAAAGATTATTCTAAACTTCTTTACTTCGAAGAAATTTCTTTTATCAGATGAACTTTTTATTATATTTTCTTATTTTAAGAAAAAAATTCACACATTTTTTGTCTAAAAAGAAAATTTTCAGCATATCATAAAATTTGCATCAAAGCTTACTGTACAAAACAACCCCCTCGTTGAAACAAAGCTTCGTAAACTAACGTGCCAGCTGCACTTCAATCATTAACCTTTGGAACCTCTGCTTCTGCAATCCAATCATTGTCAAGAGTTTTTCCCATTTAACAATTTTCCATTTGTGAACTTCGGTGGCAAGCACAAGATTGACACTGCAACCACATTGAAAATTCCGTAGCATCTCCACCAAAGACCCAAACCCACCACGTCCTTTTTACACTTCACTCACGTCTTCAACCGTTCAAACTTCAAAGTTCTTGAATCGCAAGTTTTTAGATCAATTCATGTTGCCAACAAAACCCTTGATTAATGTAATAGAAAGCTCACCTCAAACTGGCTTCAAAATTGATGGTTCTGCTATTCAAAAATGCTTTTCAACTGTACACACCTAAACCTAGTAACAAAGGGAACTTAATTAAAGAGGTTTACAATTATATGCTTTTAAAAAAAAAAAAATCAATTATTCATATGCTCTATATAATTTATGGAATTTTAATCTCTACATACCATATTACCATGGTCTAGCCGAGTCACTTTAAAACATATCAGTTACTCGTTTTCATTTCAATTTTTAACAACATTCAAAATATGTTCATTGTCTGTTTTTCATTTTCTATTTTCGTATCCATAAACTCTGAAATTTAAAATATGAACCTTTAATTTTTTTTGGTTCTTTTATTTTTTTTGTAACGTGTTATTAATACAAAATATTTATTAACCTTGTCGATAATTAATCTCTATTGAAAATCTATCAAATGGTCACTTTTATAAGAAATGTGAATATCAATTTCAAAATTAGAGTGTGATTTATTTTTACCGTTGATTAGACGAATTTTCGCACAAATTTAAATATAGTGAATATGTTATATTAAAATAAAATAAGGGAGATAAATAACACTTTATTAGAAAAAAAAGTGAATATCATTTATTAAAAAAATATAAGAAAAGTTAATGTCTATTTATAAATTAAAGAGACAAGTGAGCATGATTTCATTAAAAACATAAGAAATAAAGATGTATGTCTATTTTAGAATTTGAATGGTGTGAATATCATCTAAATATCTCAAATTCTATGAGTGTATAATTTCTCTAAATATTTTCAAATTATTTAAATTACATTTGAAAGAAACTATTACCATAATTTTAGTTGACTTAAAAAAAAAAATACAAACTGTTCTCTCTCATTCACATTTGATTTTTGGTATTCAAATTCGATATCTTACTTGAAGAATTTGAATTTAATCACATTTAATGTGTTGTTAAAATATTATGTAAATTTATTATTTTTCTATTAAAAATATTGTTAATATATTATGTGACATAAAATATGTTGTAAAATATTTCACAAATTAATGATAATATCTATTGAGAAATTCTAATATACTTACTTAAATACAAATTAAAAACTGGGACAAATAATTTTGTAACTCGAAAGAATATAAGAATAAATGTGATATTGTTCGAGTGTAATTTATATACTCTATAAATATAATAATATTTATACCATTTACGAATTAGCATAGTAATAGGTACAACTTGAAGATATTTTTTATAAAATTTAATAAAATTACTAAATATTGTATTTTGTGTTGTAAATATGTCACCTACACTATGAGAGCACAAATTTATACACATGCATATGAAAGTTATAATATCTTAGAGCTTGGATATTTATGGTCTTTGAATGCTTCAAGTGTTCATATAAAAGCACATGAAAATAGCAAACAATAATTTTACTTAGGAGAAACATTAACTTCGAGTGTATTCAAATTGCTCAAGAAATTATAAAAACAATGTTATAACCAATATATACTATATGATAAATAATAAAAACCAAAAAGTACATGTATTTAATGAACATTTAATTTTGCTCCTAGCAAACACGATACAAAACCACATTATTGGTGTTTCAATAAAAAAAAACTGTAATTTAAAATTCGGGGCCAATTATAGTTCTCTGAAACTCAGCCCAATCTAACTAATGACTATCGCATCGTAATCGAGGGCCCTTTACTGATAAATGATAAACTTGAGATGGGCTTAGAAAAGGCCCGTGTTCTTACAGTCTTACAATAATTAACAACTATGAATTCGTTTCTTTCTTATAAAATTCAAAGCAAGTTTGAAGAAAATAAAAATGAAAAATAAAATAGTTTATATTATCAACTATTGTAAATAATCTAAAAAATAGTTATTTAAAAATAAAAAATCTTATAATATATGCCCAATATAAAAGTAATTTACAATGTTAATAAATTTAGATTAAATTCAATAAAAATATAATAATTATTAGTACATAGGATATAAATCATATATAAATTAATTAAATTAGATAATAAAATAATTTTTTTTTCAATAGTGAAGGTCTTATTTTTTTATATAATAATAAATTAAAAATAGAAGGATTTTGTAACTAATAATAAAATTATTAATTTTCTTCAAGATATATTAATATAAATTTTTTAATTTGGTCAAATATATAAAATTTAAATTTTGAATAAAATTAAATAATTAATATAGTAATAAAAATATAAATGGAAGATTAATGTTTAAGATTTCCACTATCAATTGAGTGAGTTTAGAGCAATTGCAGGTGGACAATTTTATTTTCCATATAATTCATCTACAACTCAATTTAATAATTATATATATATATATATATATATATATATAGATAATCAACTAAATTCATCTTATATTAATATAATAATAAGTAAATTCATAATTAAAAAAAAATTGAAAGACACTCGATGAATCAAAAGAAAATATACAAGTTTTATTGTTACTATTATAATAAATATACTGGAACAGAAACTTTTATTATAATTATAATAATAAATTGGGTTGTTGAGTTTCAATTAATAAATATTGGAATATGATTCCACCGCTATATAAAGAGAGTATAGTGAGTACCAATATTTTGTGTCACCAGTTTCAACACTTGAAGACTCTTCCCTGTGAGTATGGCAGGAAAGAACAAGAAGATTATTGGGCCTAAAGAAGAGTATGAAAAAGCAATGACTCGGGAACAGAGTTGGATCTTTCCCTTGGAGAAGCTGAATCTTGGACCACGAAAAAAGTTCCTTGTTATGAACCTTAACGGGTTATTTTTGTATAGAGTTCATCGTTCTCAAAAAAGTGAACTACCAAAGACTCGTTCAGCTGATGGGCACTATAGAGGCTATCTTGGTATGTAAATGTATGATCTTCAACCAAAAATTTAAACATGTGTTATCTTGTAGTTTTCAAGAGATCTTTGAGTGAGAGTTTATGAAATTCTTCTTAGAAAGATTTGAAGTTGGTACTTGGTCTTCTGCAATAGAGTATCTAGCAGCTCCTCAAAAATTTGTTTTTTTAATTCTATTGTTTATTCATGTTTTAAAGAGACATAAAGTCTTATTCATATTTAATGAAATATAAAGTCTTTCTGGGTTGAAAATAATATAAATATTTTATACGGGTTAAACTTTTATTTTATTAATGTATTTCTCCTTATAAATATCTTCTAAGGACCTAACAAATTATATTAGAATAAAAAATTAAAGTAATCTTTTATCAAAAGTCTTCTAATTAAGTAAATATATCCAAACGACAATACATATAAAGATCACTACTAAATTTTAAGATATACCAATATAAATAATTCACACATTTAAGAAAAAGATTATTATATAATAAACTTAAGAAGATATACTAATATAAAAAATTCACATTTCAAAAGAAAAATTGTTAAAAAATATAAATATAATTTTAAGTCTTGAATAAGTTAAATAATATATAAAAAAACATCAATAATTCACACATTTAAGAAAAAGATTGTTATATAATAAACTTAAGAAGATATACTAATATAAAAAATTCACATTTCAAAAGAAAAATTGTTAAAAAATATAAATATAATTTTAAATCTTGAATAAGTTAAATAATATATAAAAAAACATGACTCATAATCTAATATTTTATTTTGTAAAATATTAAAGTTTTTAAATTGATAGGTTATTTAAAGTTTTTGAATTGATATATAAACAATATAACTCATAATCTAATATTTTATATTTTATTTAAAGTTTTTGAAAGTTTTTGAATTAATATCAGTTATATGATTTTTTGAATTGATATTTATATTTTATTTAAAGTTTTTGAAAGTTTTTGAATTAATATCACTTATACGAGTTTTTGAAATGATATTGGAGTTATATGGGTTTTTAAATTGATAATGGAGTTTTATGGGTTTTTAAATTGATATTGGAGTTATATGGGCTGGACTCATGATGTTATTTCTCAACCATGATGTTAAAGTTTTTGAATTAATATCACTTATATGAGTTTTTGAATAACCCATGATGTTAAAAACTTTTGAATTAACATCACATATATGAGTTTTTGAATTGATATCATCAACCCATGATGTTATTTCTTAGAAACTAGACGTGACTCCCACTTGATTCCCAACCTTTTTTTCCATGAGAACAGGCATAGATGATGCCTTAACCTATGTCATTGTACCTTTAGAAAACTGTTTGGGTGAGTGCATACAGTTTTTTATCATACACTTGTATAGGATCAACGTCAACGTACTGATTCTAGGTTCAAATCCTTAGAGAAACCTTCCACGCCTTTTCTCTTCAAAGAATTTAATAAAATATGGGAAAATGTCAAGAAAGGAGGTCATTTTCCTGCCTCAAATATTTTGTTGATGGATAACGGTTGAATATAGAGAAAATAGGGTTTGAAATTAATCTCACTTGTGTATAAATCACACATAGAGTAATCTATTTATAATAGAGAGGTACAACTAAAAGAGTAACCGAAAGTAAACAGTAAAAACAGAAGATATTGTTTAATATTGTGGTTAACAATATCTAACAATATCTTAACAATATCAAACTATATCTAAACAATATCTAACACTCCCCCTCAAGCTGGAACATATAAATCGTATGTGCCAAACTTCTTACAAATATAATCAATTCTAGGCCCCCGTAAATACTTAGTGAAAATATTTGCTAACTGATCACTTGAGTTAACAAACTCAGTCTTGATATCTCCAGACATAATATTTTCTCGAATGAAATGACAGTCAATCTCAATGTGTTTTGTCCTCTCATGAAAGTCAGGATTAGAACTAATATGAAGAGCAGCCTGATTGTCACACACAAGTGTCATTTGAGTGACATCTCCAAATTGTAACTCTCTAAGCAATTGCTTGAGCCAAACAAGTTCACAGACAACTGAAACTATAACTTTATATTTTGCTTCTGCACTGGATCTTGCCACATCACTTTGTTTCTTACTTTTCCATGAGATCAAGTTACCACCAATGGAGACACAATATCCAGATGTGGATCTTCTATCCGAAGGAGATCCTGCCCAATCAACATCTAAGTAGCAAACAACTCTTGTATGATTATTAAAACCATATAACAATCCTTTTCCAGGAGATCCTTTAATATACTTCAAGATACAAATGACTGCATTTCAATGATCTTCACATGGTGAATTAAGAAATTGACTTACCACACTGACTGCAAAGGAAATGTCAGGACGAGTAACTGTAAGATAATTCAATTTTCCAACCAATCTTCTATACTGCTCAGGATCAGATATAAGCTTCCCCTGATTTGGTAGAAGTTTAGTATTAGGATCCATGGGTGTATCAACAGACTTTGAACTCATCAACCCAGTTTTCTCCAAAATATCTATGGCATACTTCCTCTGAGATATAACAATATCATCCCAGAAGACTCCCCCTGAGCAACAAACCAAAGAGGTTTGTCCATATATATTTCTTCTTGCAAATCACCATTGAGGAAAACATTTTTAACATCCAGTTGATAAAGATGTCATTGTTGAAGAGCGGTCATGGCGATAAATAAACGAACAGAAGTCATCTTTGTCACAGGGGAAAAGGTATATCCATAATCCAACCCAAAAATTTGAGTATAACCTTTGACCACAAGACGAACTTTGAAGCGATCAATAGTACCATTAAGTCCAACTTTGATAGCAAACACCCACCTGCAATCAATAACAAATTTCCCAAACGGTAACGAGACCAATTCCCAAGTTCCACTATTATGAAGAATACTTAGTTCATCTAACATGACCTGATGCCAACCAGGATGGGCTAAAGCTTCATAGACAGTTTTTGGAATGGTCACATAAGAAATAGAGGAAAAACATGTATAAAAAGGTAATGACAGTCGATGATAACTCAAAGCAATATAATGGGGAGAGAGATTACGTGTAGAACGAATACCTTTTCGGAGGGCAATGGGAATGTCAGACTTATGTGTCAGATTCGGAGGAGACAGAGTAATTGACACTTGAATGGAGTCACATGGTAGTGAAGAAGCTGAAGAGGCAGTGGAGAAGAAGCTGACTGCGGAGCAGGAACTAATGGTGAAGAAGACACAGTTAGAGGGTCACAAACAACAGAAACATTAAATGTACTAGGAGTGTTGACAAGATTGGATGGAGACAGAGGTGAAGATTGACTTTTAAAATAAAGATACAATTCATCAAATGTGACATCTGCAGACAAAAAATAACGGTTAAGAGAAGGAGAAAAATATTTGTATCCTTTTTGTGATCTTGTAAATCCTAAGAAAACACATTTATGTGATTTAGGAGAAAGCTTGTCAAGACCAGAACTGAAATTATGAACAAAACATGTAAACCAAAAAACTCTCAAAGGTAAAGGATGAAATGGTTCATGAGAGAATAAAATGGAATGAGGTATTTTATTATCTAAAACCGAAGAAGGCATGCGATTAATGAGATAATATGCAGTAAGAAGAGCATCACCCAAAAAATGTTGAGTAACATCTCCATGAATTAAAAGTGTGCGAGATGTTTCAATAAGATGTCTATTTTTACGTTTAATTACACCATTTTGTTGAGGTGTATAAGCACAAGAAGTTTGATGCAAAATACCATGAGAAGCTATGAATTGTTTAAAAGAATGAGAAAGATATTCACGGACATTATCACTATGCAAAACTCTAATAGAAACACCGAACTAAGTTTGAATTTCATTGAAAAAAGTTTGAAAGATATGAAATAATTCAGAACGATTTTTCATCAAAAATAACCAAGTGCATCTGGAATAATAATCAATTAAAGTAACAAAGTATTGAAAACCTAAAGTAGACTTAACGCGGCTAGGTCCCCAAATGTCAGAGTGAATCACGACAAAAGGGGATGAAATACCACGTGTGAAACTACGAGGAAAGGAAGTACGACTATGCTTGCCTAATTGACATGACTTACACGCCAAACTAGATAAGTTGGACAAGGCAGGGACAAACTTCTGTAACTTGGCAAGACTTGGATGACCTAAATGAGCATGAAGAAGAGAGGAAGACTTCATAACTGTACTAACATGTGTAGAGGGACGAAGATAATAAAGATCATGAGACTCACATCCTGTGTCAATCACCTGTTTCGAACTCCAGTCCTGTAAACACATAGAAATATTGGTAAAAGTAACAACATAATCAAGAGAACGAGTTAGACGACTGATGGACAACAGGTTAAAAGGAGACCCATGGACATAAAGAACATTATCAATGGTTAAAGAAGGAAAAAGTTTAACCGTTCCAAAACCATGAGATGATACTCTAGAGCCATCAGCCAGTGTAACAGAAGGTAAATGATTAGGAGAGGATAAAGATGAGAACAAAGATTTGTTACCAGTAATATGATTAGTGACTCCTGAATCAAAAATCCAAGGACCAAGAGAAAATGATTGGGTCAGACCAGCAAAATATGTATTTGTATGTGTGACAGATATATTGGAACTAGAAGACTGTTGATCCTTATACCATTCGAGAAATTTGTTGAACATAGCAAGCATGTCGGATGCAACAGAAGAAGGAGGATCCCCAGCAGATAAAGGTAAGAAAAGATTGGTCTGAACAACTGCAGCAGATCGAAGAGGACGACCATGTAATGTATAACACTTGTTAATCTTGTGACCTAACTTGTCACAATGTTCACATTTAGGACGCCATTTTTCCTGTTTGAGAGGGCGAGTCCGGTCATCACGATGAGATGTCAACATAAAAGAATCATTAACAAAATTGGAAATAGTAAAAGAAGTCATGAAGAGCGGGAGAACAAACCCTAAAACAATTCAAAGTAATCCAATTAACCCACGAAGCACAAATCCAAAATGAGAATATTAAAAATAAGTTCGCTAAGACTAAACGGCGCAGGAGACAATGGGTCAACCACTCTGATAGTAGTGATCTCAACGGCACAGTGGTCACCTGATCGAGACAAGCAAAATCATATGTCACCGGTCAAAAAATGAAACTCTGGAGAATTCTCCAGTAGCGGCGGATTCGGTGACTGCTTCAGGGCAACGATGTCAGCAACGTGAACCAGTACACCAGGTAAGTTCTCAGGAAAGAGAGGTGGGTCAGTAATGAACACACTTAAATACCAAGTCTTTCCTTGTCAGAACTTTCCTAGACATGCACTTTCACACTACCAAATAAAATTTAGTAACAAAGATAATTATTTTCTGATGTGGAGGATCAGTTTACCAGCAGCAGTGGGGTGACTCTAACAGTGGACAAAAGACGAAAAAAACAAATTTAAGATAACCTTAAACTCTAGATACCATGTTGAATATAGAGAAAATAGGGTTTGATTCTAGATACCATGTTGAATATAGAGAAAATAGGGTTTTAAATTAATCTCCCTTGTGTATAAATCACACATAGATATATATGATACGAGTTGTACAATAACAAACTAAAAGAATGAAAAAAAGATAAATAAATATATATATATATATATATATATATATATATATATATATATATATATTATCTCTCTCATCAACTTTTAAATCAAATAATCACATCCAGATTTAAGGTGCTAATTTTTGTACACTCACTAATTGCAAACACCCCCATTGACACTTTTAACCTATCTCTATATTTCTTCTGGTCACGTGGCTCATTGCAAAACACATGTAGTAGGTATTTTAAAAATAAAAAATCCAAGTTCTATTTATTTGGATTCTTGTGAAGTTTTCATTTCCCCTCGAACTGAACCCATTCAATTCAACTAATTAAATCAATGGATATCGTGCAAAATTATTTTTGAGGAAAAAAAGACATAACTTTTTATGAAAATGTATAGATTATATCATCAGTAAAATAAGATATAACAATATTGTTTATGTAAGTCACACATATAAAATAAATAGTAGAAAATTTATATCACAATTATAATTTAAAATATTTTTTTCTTAACTCAAAACATGAAATACCAATGTTTTTTAAATTATATAAGTTGAAATGACAAAAAAATCGATTTAATTGGATTTTAACTTAGATTTAATAAAATAATTTTTTTATTATATAATAAATTTATTAATAATAATTTTTATTATAAAAAAATTAAGAATAACTATTTATAATTAATTATAAATGTAAAATATAGTAAAAAATAAAAAATTATTATTTAAAGTTTACGTAATTAATAAAATAATATTTTTATGATATAATAAATTTATTAATAATAATTTTTTTATAAAAAATTAAGAATAACTATTTATAATAAATTATAATAAAAATTATAAATATAAAATATAATAAAAAATAAAATATAAAAAATTATTATTTAAAGTTTACGTAATTAATATAAGAAAAAAAACTAAAATATATTATATAATTTATAAAAAAATATATTAAAAACAAATAATCTTAATTTTGTTTTTAACTTGATTAAAAAGTTTAGTCAATTTTAACAATTTCATTTTAATTTAATTAACAATGAAATCGATTTCTAAGCTGTTTAAAGGGTTAATCAATCCGATTTTCATACGGTGAAAAACACAGTCATTCTGTCCATGGTCATGGCAGGGGATTGAAAATATCTGTTTTGAAGATTCTAAACCCTTGGAACTATACCAATTATTCAGCCATCCAGTGGTTTAATTTTGTATGCAGAGTGGGAACAGTTCAATCAACAGCCGTAGTTTTATTTTAATATTGCGTCAGTTTGTTTTAAAATTAAAAAGAAATCAAGAAATTCAGATTCCAATGGGTTGTTCATTGTGTTTGTGTTCTGTTCTACGTCTTTCATAATTATTTTATTTTATTTTCTAAAACAATTATTTATTTTATTCATAATTTATATGGTTACTTCTTCTTACAGCTCATATGGGCTCATTCCCGTAGTCCAAATAGTAAAACACAGATTCCTATGGATGGGCTATTTACTTTGGGCCCAACTGCATTAGACTGGGCCCAGGAATGCATTTATATGGTTTTATATTCGTGGGTATAGAGTATCAGGGAGAATTAGGTTTTAGGGTTTACACTGAGCAGCCACACCAACAGCAGCAGCCATGGTCCTCAAGTGTGTATTCGCGACACTTTCTTCTTCTTCTTCTTCCATTAACTCCTTTTGCAGGATCACATAGTAACTTCTTTCTTCTAGCAGTTTTTGTTCTGATGCATAAACTCATCTGTAATAAGAAATTGTTGTTTGTTACAGTTAATATCTTTTTTAATTATTATTATTATTATTTTGTGAAATCGGTTCACTTTTTCCCACTCCCATTTTGTTTCCGTGGTATGGTTGTTGTTTTTAATTTCAGCATTTTAAATTATTATTATTGCGTGATTATTGTTGCGATCTAGAGCATATTGTGTTGAGCTTTTCCGATGCGCCGAAAATTAATTTCACAAGATGTACATCATAATCCTTGGCTGATTGATGACATGATTTCAATTCCTCAACGAAGTATCTGAAATGTTGGCTTGCTTTTGAATTGCTTCTTTAATCTCAGTTGATGTTTTAAATTTTACGATATTTAGAGTCATGAGTAGGCTTCTAAAACATGTTGGAGAACTTGTTCTCTTTTAGAAACAGCCTTCGAGAAATGTCAGACGCATAACTCTTTAAGATTGTTGAAAATAATTTCTGCTTCAGTTGCTTACGCGTAATGTTTGATCTATGAATTATCATTTTTCTTAGAGGACACATAAGTATATTAATATTTGTTATTCCTGTATTAGAACTGAACTATGCCGATTCAGTGGTGCCAAGATTTATCCAGGAAAGGGCATCAGATTTGTTCGTGGTGATTCTCAGGTGACATAAAATGTAGAATTGAATTTTGGGTCGATATATCACACTATTTCAATCTGGTTCTGTATACTATGACACATTGATTCTTAGCTGTGAGGGTTTTTGTTTGTTGTTAGTTATGATATCGTTATGAGGGTTTTGTTTGTTGAATCTGCAGGTTTTCCTGTTTGCCAATTCCAAATGCAAGAGGTATTTCCACAATCGCTTGAAGCCATCGAAGCTTACCTGGACTGCAATGTACAGAAAGCAACACAAGAAGGTCTTTATTTAATTTAAATTTTTGAAAGAGGAAACAATGAGCCAATATAGACATCATGAACTTATTAAATAAGAGTGGCCATTGCCATTGATCAACTTGTTTATGAAGTGAAAAAGTTGTTTTCGTACTCGAGATGGTTTTGATCATCTGATTTTGCCTTGGGCATAGTTATTTTAGTTTCTCATATGATCAGGATACTATGCTGTAAGCATTCCTCGATTGTTGCATGCATTTTATACAATTACTTGTGTGAATGTGATGTGTAGGATATTGCTCAAGAAGCTGTGAAGAAGAGAAGACGTGCTGCGAAGAAGCCTTACTCTAGGTCCATTGTTGGTGCCACTCTGGAAGTTATCCAGAAAAAGAGGACTGAGAAGCCAGAAGTTAGAGACGCAGCTAGGGAAGCTGCCCTTCGGTGTGTTTTTGTTTATGCCTAATTTTCCATTTGCTTAATTGAATTTGTTATAGATTTGTACATATTTAATCACTTTTGTTTGTCAATTATTTTTTGATCCAATATTTATTATTACACTTTACTCTCTAGGTGCATCTCTCAATTAGGAGCTTAAATCATTTTCTATTTTTTAATTTCCTGCATTATTTCTATAATGTTCGAAAATCTTTTAGTTTAATCATTTGTTTCCGAAATTCTGTTTCATAGCCATAATTTTAGCAACCCTTTTGCTTTCAATAATGGACTACACATGAATCTAAATCATGGATGTGGTACAGTGAAATTAAGGAGAGGATCAAGAAAACAAAGGATGAGAAGAAGGCTAAGAAAGCTGAAGTTGCAGCCAAGTCACAAAAAGCGGGAGGGAAAGGCAATGTTTCCAAGGGTGCTATGCCCAAAGGTCCCAAACTCGGTGGTGGAGGCGGGAAACGTTGAGTTTTTAAAGTTTTGTTCCTATTTTTGCTACAATTTAAATAGAGTTGTTTTGAAACTTCTGTACTGATATTTTATTTGCATGATTAATCTTTCATTTTACTGTTTAACTTAGCCTGTGTTTGGAGCTTCAGATAGTACCTCGTTATTGAATGTATTTCCCCTTCCTCCCTAGTCACGTTATGCACTGTCTGTTTTTATTGGTTCGTGTTTGGCTTTTGAAGTTGACTAACCCGACAAATGGGGATGCTCAATCCTCCGACTGCTCATTATATGAACTTTCAATTCATTTTATTCCCAACAGCTTTATTTTGTTGTATTGCATTTTTTTTTACCGCGCACGGTGCATTGACTCCTTCAACGGTGACAAACTGATGCCTCACCATTTGTTTACTTTCATGCTGATTGTCCTCAGCAACATTTGTTTTTGCAACGGTTGATGATGGAGGCAAGCCTTGAAAAAAGGAAAATCCATTTCGTATCAAGTGGTGTTATATTGACACTCTCTTAGGATAAACAATTATTCTTAGAACCCGTTTTTATTATTATAATAATAGTAAAAAAAATTAATAAAAATAATTTAAAATTACTATTATAACATTAAAATCAGTTGTTTGGTGATTAGTATAAAAATGTGGCTTCAAAATAATTATTCTCTTTCGTGTTATCCCATTGTTTTTTCTCGTTCTTTTAAAACTTGAATTATTTTTTTTTTAGAGTAAAAATGTGTAGTTATAGGATCGCATCATGGAAAAAGATGCGGGTGAAAAATTTGTTCAAACCCCTATTTTGATACATAAAGCACCAAAATCCTATTATCATAATTGCTTAAAACTCCCATTCTAACATTCTTATGGACAACCCCAACCTATATAATATACTCCATGATCAAATAGTTTGTTTCATTTTTTATTTTATAATACTTCATCTTAACCAGTTTACAAGTTCAATTTACCCTTTCTTTGATAATTGATATACTGAGAACTGATTTGGATATTGTAAATAATTCTCCTTAATTTTTTTATTTATTGACGACGGGCGATCCTGTTAATGTGACATTGTAATTTTCAGAATTTTTTCGTATAATGGAAATAGAATTCCAAATTCTAAAATAAATGTAGCATGTTTTTTAGGATACATAAGGCATTTTCTTCGTGTACTCATAGTTTCTTTTGAATCTCTATAATTAAATTAAATTCTATTTTTTTTACATTTATCTTTATTTTTGTTGTGTTTATTTCTGATTTTTAAACCTTTTAATGTCTGATTTTTAAATTTTACTAAAATATTTTCATTTTTCCTTCTACTATTCCAAGAATTACAAGAAGGTAATAATCTACTTTTTGAGGAATGTGAATAGAGTTTCGAAATATTTTTTTGGAAACATTTTTCAAAAAAGTGGGTTCTAGAATATATTTATAGAATTGATTTTTTGAAAATGCATTATGAATTATCGGGTTCGAAATACACTTTCGGATTTCACATTCGAAAGTGTATTTCGATCTATCAATCGAGAATACATTTCTAGAAAATAGATTTCAAAATATATTCTGAAACCCATTTTTTAGAACATGTTTCTAAATTGACTTTTTTAGAAATGCATTCTAGAACACCCACTTTGAAATATATATCTGGATTGACTTTTTGGAAATACATTTTGGAATTGGTGCTCCATAATGTTTTTTCGAAAAAAGTCAATTTGAAAATGTATTCCAAATTGGGTGTTCTGAAACTCAATCTAATTTTCATAAAATTGTTCATGATAGAGCAATTTGAGTCTTAATATGTAATTTTAGTATCGAAACATGTAATAAATACATAATATTAACAATTACTCATTTTTTAAGTATTGGAGATCTTGAGAGAAGGTGATAATATGATAATAGAAGAAACCATATATATATATATATGAAAGTGCATAACTTTCACAGAAAAATAAAACAAAAGATTAGAATTTGAAACAAAAATTATTAAAAAAAGTATTTTAGTTGTTTTACTTAAAATATATTTAATTAAAGTGGAAGAAATATGTAAATGCATGAAAAAGTGCCTAAATAAATACCCTAATTTTCAAATCGACAAGTGCATCTTAGCCCGGTCCCTTTTTATGGGTTTACATGTGAGTCACGCCGAAACACGAGTTGAATACAACATTGATAGGGAAAAACAATACAACAATCTAAAATACAAAAATATGCAGCGAAAATATTTTCCCTAAACTTGCAAGAATCTGAGAGGAGCAACAAGAACAGATAATGACAGAAATAATCACACTAGAGAACACCAATATTTTTACCGTGGAAAAACCTCCTCAATATGAGAAGTAAAAACTTATGGGTACAAGCCAGTCAAACAAGCTCCACTAAGATCAAAGTATGAGTACAAGAGAGTTGAATAAAATACACAAATAAGTGTCTACAGAACAACCAATATATTGAAGCAACAATGCTCTCAAATACGAAGAACAAATAAAAGAAACCTTAAAATCAGTCACAGTATGAGACTGATATCTCCAACCACAGGCGTTCAATTAACGGGAAAAATGAAGACCCTTACACCATGAACCTGCTGTCAAAATTTCAGCTCGATCCAACGGTGAACTAAGCGGAAATCGTAATTTCACTTAGACGGTTTGATAAATGAACGAAACTATTTTCTTTTCTTTTTCTCTTTTAAAGGTTGCGAGAATGCTCTCTCTGTTCTGACCTAACATATCCCTCTCCACTTAAGATTAAGTGAGATAAAATGGGCTTGACTAATTTGAACATTTTTGGATACATAGTTGGGAGTCCAACCCAACACATCTCCCCCCCTCACAACTATGTGGAGGTGATCATCAATCTGGCGATCTCACAACAAGTTTCAAACTTCTGCCTTGACAATATCTTAGTAATCATATCAACATCATTGTCATCTGTGTGCACTTTTTCTAATTCCAACAACTTAGCATCCAAAGTATCACGTATCCAATGATATCTTACATAAATACGTTTGGATTTAGAATGAAAAGTTGGATTCTTACCAAGATGAATAACACCCTTATTGTCCACAAAGAATGGATAATTGTTCAACACAAAACCAAGCTCCTCTAAGAATTTTTTCAACCATAGCAACTCTTTGCATGCTTATGTAATGACAATGAACTCTGCACCTGTAATAGATAATGTTACATACTTTTGTTAGGGATGGCAAAACGGGTCAACCCGCCCCGCCTTTGGCCTGCCAAAAACGGGGCAAGGCGGGCTGACCCGTTATAGTCATGAAGGGCTGTAGACCTTGGCCCGCTCCGCCAAGGGGCAGAGTTGGCGGACTGGCGGGCTGACTCGCCATAATTTAGAAAAAAATAATTTATTTTTTAAAATAATTTTTTTAATAAATTTAATAATTGAATATTATTATTTGTTTGTCAATAATTCAATATATATATATATATATATATATATTATTTTAATTTAATAATATAAATCAATACATTGTTTTAAGAAATTATTATTTAGAACAATAATAAAATTTACATAATAATAAATAATAACAAATATATATATATATATAACGTTAAAACTTATAAAATTTATATTTTTTATATTGAAAAATTCAAATACCTATATCTTTTTTATTTGATAAAACTTCACATTATTCTTGGTTGAGTAATTCTTACATCTTTAATTCAAGTCATAAGGATAAAAATAATCGGTGCTTAGGATGAACAAGGAGAACAAGAGAGAGAAGATTATGTTTCGAGTAAGGAGAATATTTTCTCCGAGAGTGAAACTTTTTTAATTCTCTTTTTAAAATTTTTAATTTTATATATTATTTTTATAATTAATTTTATTACAATAAAAAAATATTTTTTTATTAATTAGGTGGGCCGCGGCCGGCCCGCTCGTCCCGCGGGTTGACCTGCACAAGCTGAAAACACCAACCCACCCCCGCCATATTATGGCTGACCGGCCCACCGGGCCTAACCCGTTTTTCCATCTCTAACTTTTGCAATCTTGATTGCCAAGCCGCAACTCCCCCTGCAAACTTAATCAAATAGCCCAAGGTGGACTTTCTGAAATCAATGTCTCCAGCCATATCTGAATTTGAGTAACTCATCAAAATAGGTTTATTACCTCAAAAATAAAGTTTCATATCACTAGTACCATAAAGATACCTTAAAATCCATTTCACAACATTCCAATGCTCTTTACCTGGATTGGACAAGAAATGACTAATAATACCAACAACATGTGCAATGTCAGGTCTAGTACATACCATTGCATACATCAAACTACCAACTGCAGATGCATAAGGAACTCTACTCATATATGATTTCTCAACTTCATTTGAAGGACTCTGCTCAACACTCGATTTAAAATAAGATGTAAGAGGAGTGTTCACTACTTTAATATTCTTCATCTGGAATCTCTGCAACATCTTCTTAATGTAGTGCTCCTGTGATAGATAAATCTTTTTTTCACTTCTATCACGTGAGATACTTATGTCAAGTATCTTTTTAGCAACTCCCATGTTTTTCATAGCATATGACTCGTCTAATTGCTTCTTTAACCTGTCAATTTTAGAAATATCTTTCCCAATAATAAGTATGTCATCAACATATAACAAAAAAAAAATAAAGTCATCATAAGAAAACTTTTTAACAAAGACACAATGATCAGAAGTAGTCCTTTTATAATCTTGATCACACATAAAAAACTCAAACTTTTTGCACCACTATCTTGGAACCTGCTTCAAATCATATAGATTCTTTCTCAGTCTACACACATAATCTTTTTTGCCTTCAACAAGAAAACCATTAGGTTGTTTCATATAAATCTCTTCCTCCAAATTATCATATGAAGGAAAGTTGTCTTCACATCCATCTGTTCAACCTCCAAATCATGGATAGTAACTAAACTTAACACAACTCTAATGGATGACATTTTCACCACAGGTGATAAAATCTCATTGAAATCAACACCCTTTTTCTGTCTAAATCCTTTCACCACTAATTTAGTTTTGTACCTTCGAGATGTAGAATTGGCCTCTTGCTTTACCCTTAAAATCCACTTGTTCTCTAAAGCCTTTTTGCCTTTAGGCAATTTTTCCAAGTCATAAGTGAGATTATCATGCAAAGATTTTATCTCATCTTGCATTGCATCCAACCACTTTTGTTTTTCTTCACTTTCCAAAACTTCTTCAAAATATTCAGGTTCTCCACCATCAGTCAAAATTACATACTCATCAGAAGAATACTTGGAAGACGAATTTCTTAACCTATTGGACCTCCTAGTAGGGACTTGTGGTAATTCATATATATCATCATGTTCCTCTTGAGCATCATCAATCGAAACCTCTATACCATCTCCAACTTGTTGATCATCAACATCACTATGTTGCTCATCATTTTGAGCATTAGACTCAACATTATCTAAACTGTGAATAGGCAATCGCATCGAATTACCATCAATGAGATTATTATCTTTCTCGAGTCTAGTCATCTCTACTTTGTTAACATCTTCAATGGTTTGGTCTTCCATGAACTGCACATCACGACTTCTAACTAGATTTTTCTCAACAGGATCATACATCGTGTAGTCAAACTCATCCTGACTATAACTAATAAAGATACATTGTCTTGACTTTGAATCTAACTTGAATCTTTCATCATTTGGAATTAAACAAATGTCTTGCAACCAAAGACACGCAAATGATCATAGTTAACATTCTTGCCAAACCAAATTTTGTCTAGCACCTCTGTATTCAAAGCAATCGCATGACTAAGATTAATAACATGCATGACTGCAAGCAATGCCTCTCCCCAAAAATGCTTAGGCCACTTTGCTTCACAAAACATATATCTAACTCTTTCAATCAAAGTCCTGTTCATCTTCTCTACTAGACCATTCAACTGAGGAGTTTTAGGAGGAGTCTTTTCATGTCTGATACCCTGCTGCTTGCAATAAATATCAAAAGGTCCACGATACTCACCACCATTATCAATACGAACGCATTTCAGCTTCTTACCTGATTGCCTCTCAACCAAAGCATGAAATTCTTTTAACTTTTCAAGTACTTGATCCTTTCTTTGTAGTGGATAAACCCATAGCTTCCTAGAACAATCATCAATAAAAGTAACAAAATAAAGTGCACCACTAAACGACTTTACCTTTAATGGGTCACAAACATCAGAATGCACCAATTTAAGCAACTCTGACTTTCTTGAGGGAGGATGCTTCTTAAAGGATATTCTGGTTTGTTTACCAGTCATGCAATGAGAACATTTCTTCAACTCTGCACTCTTCAATTCCAAAACATATCCTTTTTAGCTAAGCAATTAAGCATTTTTTCACTTATATGACCAAACCTTTGATGCCACAAAGATGCCTCTGTATACATAACATTCACACTGTCCTTAGTAACCAAAGCTTTAGTATAATATAATTTAGAATTTTTCTCCCCTCTAGCCATGACCAAGTTACCTTTAGTGAGCTTTCATTTTCCAGAACCAAAATAATTGTCATAATCACAATCATTAAGCAAATGCACATATATTAGATTAAAATGAACATATAGAGCATGTTTGACTCCTCTAAGTAATAATTGCACTCCCATGATGGTTTGCAAACAAACATCACCAACACCAATAACCTTTGATACACCATCATTACCCATCTTTTAACACTCCAAAATCAACAGAAGTGTAAGATGTGAAGAATTCCTTTCTCGGTGTAACGTGCAGTGTAGCACCACTATCAATGATCAACATGCTCTCATCAGATACAAGATTAACATACTCATTGTCACGAAGAAAAACAAGATCACCACATGTAGTAGTAACATGACCATCATTATGATCATTCTCTTTCTCCTTGTCCTTCTTGCATTTGTTATCCTTTTTCCACTTATAACAATATTTTTGGATGTGTCTAGGTTTATTACAATAATGACACTTCAAATTCTTGTATCTTGTCTTAGAATTACTCATACTCTTGTCTCTACCACCCTTCAGTTCATTTTTCTGACATCTCCCCCTATTTTCAGTGACAAACACCTCAAACTGAAATGAAGAACCATGTGTCTTCCTTCTCATCTCTTCATTAAGAGCACCACTCTTTGCCATTTCAAAAGAAACAATACCATTAGGGGCTGAGTTTGTAATTGAAACCCAAAATATCTCCCAAGACTCTGGTAGAGTATTCATTAGCCATAATCCCAAAACTTCATTATCAAAATTTATACACATTCCTGATAGTTGATCTAGGAGCCCTTGAAACTCATTTAAGTGATCTGCAATGGAAGAACTCTTTCTGTACCTCAAATTCATCAAACAATTCAACAAATACAATTTATTATTGCCTGACTTAGAAGCATACAAAAGTCTCATTCTTCATCAGACATAGAATCCGGCTTTTGTGTAGCAAATACAGGAAGATGCAATTTCTTCATAAACAACAAATCTTCCATCTTACCTTTCACCAATGATAATTTGTGTTATTTAAAGCAACCATTTTTGTATTTGCCTCCATCATTCAAGCAAGTAAATATAGTAAAAAAAAAAAAAACCAAGAGCTTTGATACCAATCTGATAAGGAAAAACAATACAACAACCTTAAATACCAATATATGCAGCAAAAATAATTTCCCTAAACTTATGCAAGAATCTGAGAGGAGCAACAACAACAGATAATGATAGAAATAATCACAGTAGAGAACACCAATATTTTTAACGTAGGAAAATCTCCTCAATATGAGAAGTAAAAACTCATGAGCACAAGCCAGTCAAACAAACTCCACTAAGATCAAAGTATGAGTATAAGAGATTCGAATAAAATACACAAATAAGTGTCTGTAGAGCAGTCAATGTATCGAAACAACAATGCTCTCAAATACGAAGAACAAATAAAAGAAACCTTAAAACTAGTCACAGTGCGAGACTAATATCTCCAACCACAGGCCTCTCCAATTAACGATCCAAACGGTCAAAATGAAGACTCTTACACTACGAACCTGCTGTCAAAATTCTAGTCTGATCCAACGATGAACTAAGCGGCAATCGTAATTTTACCGAGACAACTTGATAAATGAGCGAAACTGTTTTCTTTTCTTTTTCTCTTTCAAAGACTGCGAAAATGCTCTCTCTAACATATCTCTTTCCACTTAAGGTTACGTGAGATAAAATAAACTTAATTAATTTGAATTTTTTTTTATACATAGTGACAAGTGCATCTTAGCCCAATTTCTTTTTATGGGTTTACATTTAAGTGACGCTGAAATATAAATTCTAAAGAATATCGTTGATTCGCATATATAGAAAGAGTTAATGGTTGAATTCATGATACACGAAAATAAAAAGAAAATTAATCTCAAATACATTGTCTTCGGTAATAATTGACAAAATAAATACGACGGTAATGATAAGAATTAAAAAAATATAATCGTAATGAAATATAGATATCAACTCTTATGATAAATACGACGGTAATGATAAGAATAAAAAAAATATAATCATAATGAAATATAGATAACAACTCTCATGGCATAAGAGGTTGATTATTGACGTTTATCGTCAACAAAAATGATTGTAATTGAAAGTTTTTATTTGAAATGGTTTTCCTCGACGGACACATGTATCTGGGAAAGTACAAATTATTGTTAGATAAGAAAAATCAAATCACAAATATATTTTCATGGATGAATATATGACACCTTTTTTTTATATATATATTTTTCATATGAATAAGTGAATGGAGAGAAGAATAACAAATTTAAGATAAAAAAGAAAAAATAATTAAAGAATAATAAAATTATTATTATACTTAATTGAATAAATAAATTAATATTTAAAGAAAAAATATATTATTTATAAGATTGATTCGATTTTTGAAGTTATTAATTTATTCGAATAAAAAAAAGTTATGGATAATTTTTTAATAAATACATTTATGAAATTATATAACAAATAATTTTATTTTTTCTCTTAAAAATATTTTTGAAAATATTTATTAAAAATTATTCTTGATGTTTATATCCGCTTAATATTGAGGAGGATAGCATTGCTAACCCCGCTTAGCATGACCTACGTATTAGAACTCATAAATGCTTGCATTACTCTTGTTCTCATTATCATTATATACAAGCAAAAACATGATTAAATTATATTCAGGTTCATGTCCATGATCTTTTCATACCTAACTAAATTTCAATAATAAATATTACTACAACAACATTTTATTAATAACAGTTAATCACTAGGAATCCAAAGCAATGCTATTTGTTAGCACCTAAGTTTTGTTGGTAAACCTTTTCAAAAAACGATAATTTATGAGCACTAAAACTTGGTCACTCTTAAAGTGGAATTTCCTCTTCCTATTGCTGTAGAAGTAAGTAGGTGTAGTAAGTGATAATAAGACGTCATTCAAGTCAATCAATTGAAACTAAAAGTTAAATTAAGCATATTATAGCTGTTTCAGGAGTCATAACTACCATCCAACATGTTTGCATGGATCCTATAATGTCATTCAGAAAAGGTTATCATCTTCTAGCTAAGAACACTAATATATTAATTAAGCTCAGTCATAGAGTTCAAACTTGTGGAACATCAATTAGGGTTAATAACTAATAAGGCACAACAGGCCAGGGGCAGAGAGGCAGTGAAACAGTGTTATAATCCTCCACAGTGAAAGAACAAAAACCCTGATCTGCAACCTGCTCAATGTTACTCTTTCCCCGTGCCTTGTTCGAACCCCTTAGACCCTCTGACGTGCTTTCTACAGTTTCTTCCCCAGACATTTCTGGGTAACCGCCAAATGTTTGCGTCCCAAAACCTTGCTCTTTACTCAGCATTGCCTTCAACTTCATAACCTGCTAACAACAGATACATACATATATAGATATAGGAACCAACCAATATTCAGTCCACAATTAGGTAGATATTCATGTTGTTGACAGACAAAATAAAACGAGAGTATTCAATGTTACTTATGCAGTTTCATATTTCTTTCATTCTTGTATTGGCATGACCAAGACGACCACTATATGTAAACACGAAATGAATATTTGAATATAATATATATATATATATATATATATATATATATATATATATATATATATATATATATATATATATATATAATATATATATATATATACTGAGAGACACAAGGATATTTGTAAAGGCAACTAAACATCTATGGAATATGAGTTTGGGAGTGTGTGAAATGAAGTGGGGAGGTACCTCTTCTTGAAGCTTCTGCTTTTCGTTGGAGATGACATCATATTGGTGTTTGAGAACATCGTACAAGTGTTCAAGCTGCTTGGTTTTCCACCTTGTACGTCTGTTTTGGAACCAGACAGCGATTTGGCGAGGCTGGAGGCCTAGCTCCCTCGAAAGCTTCATCTTCCTTTCAGGGTCTAACTTTATTTCTTCCTGGAAGCTCCTTTCCAATAACTCTATCTGGTTACTTGTTAATCGCTTCTTCTTCTCTTTGCTCCCGTTGTCCATTCCTGGAATCGATCTTTCTCCTGTCTCCATCAACGTCGCTTGTTTCACTTCCACTCCTGAACATATGCAACACAAGGGGTTAGGTTAGAAAAGCAACAAGTTTTGAAGATCTCTTGAAAACTATTTATACTTCTTGGTATTAGAATGTTCCGTCTCTAATACATGAATGAAAGCATGTTTAGATAGGGTTATGACTTGTTTTAGGATTAAAATAACACACATTGTACTCTGAAAATATAATATTCATTCCATCAAAAAAATAACAAGCATTTAGGTTGTTAGATTATTTTTTTAGATGTTGTCCTAGCTAAATATATACCACTTAACAAGTACAGCTTTGAAATACATGCTTCGTCAAGGTTTCCTATGTAAGTGTCTTCTTCAGAATAGCAAGAAAAATGGCACAATTACTTTGATTGAAGTTAATATCCATATGCAAAAACTCAGAAATATTCCAATACAGTTGCAAATCTATAGGTGATTCTTGGAAGCCATTCATTGATTAACACACATATATAGAAGCTATATGCATTTGAAAATCGTAAACCATGGGCAGTAGAAAAGAAATGCAACATGACATTCGAGGATAAAGATAAATCATTTGAAGGAGTTATGTTTTGTTGTTATTTTACCTGGATATGGGTTGTTGTTATAGTTGTAGAAGAAGCTTAAGGTCTCTGGCTGAGGAACAAATGGTTTTGTGGTGTGATGCCAATCCATAACTCTTTCCACCTTTTTCTCTGGATATCTTCCATTCAATTCATCTGCAAAAATTGACCTGTCTTATATGCCTTGATGGTTGCACTGGACTGGATGGAGGTGGACCCCATAACCAGAGTGAAGATAGAAAAGGTTCATAGCAGTTTAGCTAAGGCAGTGAGGTGTTTTATTATGGTTCTGACTTGTTATTATGAGATGCAAAAGGTTCTTTACATTCCTCCCTCTTTTTGGCTCCATGCTATGTAAGATCTGAAATTTTCATCGGTTCTATCAAATAAATTCCATTCATAGAAAGTAACTAATTATCAAATAACACACAGAGCATTTATTCACTGTCACTACTTCCAGATCAAAGTTAGATTTCACGAAGTTGCAAAATAATATAGACTTGTATCCAGGTGTATTTGTTGACTTTTATATATAAAAAAATATATTTGAATAAACATAACATAATTTTGGTTAGGTTTAATTTTAGTTTAATATAAAATCAAATCAACTAAGCAAATATTTTTATTATTTAAATTTTCGTTCAAATTCATAAATAAATCACATTCTCTTTTAATAGACTTTTTTTATAATATTTTAATAAGCATAAATAGATTATAAATAAGATATAATTAAATTATAAAATAATCATATATATATATATATTAATTGTTAATTGATTCTAAATATATAATATAAAATAATACTTATCTCAAAATTAAGTTATGTTAGATGAAAAATAAATTCTTAACATTTATTGTTGACATAAATTGGTAATACAATTAAATGGTTTAACTCAATTTTTTATTTTTAATCAAACTGTTCATAAAAAGTAAATCTAAAAAATCCAAAAAAAAATCTCAAGTTAGATTGATTTTTTATTTTTTGATGGATTAATTTTAACTAGTTTAAATCAGTTAGGCTTCCAATATCCCTAGCTACTTATACCTATTTATATCTCTGTTTTCCTCTAATAAATGATTTAAATACTTTGGAAACACTATCCTCGGGCTATAGTGAGTGCTACGCGCACCCACGGAAGGTTAGAGTGACATGTGTGAATTGTAAGTGTCAGCTTCTTCTTTCTTTCTTTTGGAAGCAACGTAGTCGTGTTAAGGTGGAGACTGGGCAAGGGACCATGCTTGTCAGGAAAAGGTGTGAAAAGAGGGAACCAAGTGTTGAGTTGCCTCATGCTATTTTTTACAATAAATCTTGTAATTTCTGAGAGAAACATAAAATTTATACAACAACCCTTGTAATTTTTAAAAGAGAAATTATGTAATACAAATAAGTTAAAAAATATAACGAAAAAGGCTTTCATTAGAATAAACAATATAACATGAATGTGATGTGACGCTGTTACTTGATGCAGATAATTATGCAGAAAGAGATTTATCAGTGGGAAAAGAAGTGAAGTGGGTTCCAAAATGGCAACGCCGAGAATGATAGAGAAGCTGCTATAACCTGCTGCACCATTAAAGGAAAGTAAAGAAAGCTAAAGAAAACAGAATTTGGTGGGCTCTTCTTCTATTCATTCAACCTCATTTTCCCTTTCACCTTAATTATCTTTTCCTGCACTGTTGCAGACAGCATAGCTGTTACTATCTTGCTTGTACTATTCTTCTATCGAGATAATTCCAAACGACAAGGGTAGTCCTTTGCTCTGTGCCCAAAAGATGGTGAAGAAAGCGATCATGGGCATGCATATGAGAGTGTGAGACAACTGTCATGTTGAATAGATTAATATTCCAACTTGTCATGAATAAGTTAATTTCTGTTAATTTGTTGATTCATGCACCATGATAACAACATTACATACTTTTTAATATCAGTTCTGACTTAGGGGTACAGGCAACAAATAATGAAACACTGTATAATGCTATTTATTACTCCTTCAACAGGTGCAGCAAAATCTTGTCCTCACCATTTTTATTCTGCATACCATATTCTTTTATCTCTCTTTCTTACATCCGCACCAAAACTAGATGAATATTTCAACATTTTTCTCAGCGTATCACTAAATAATGTTTACGTGTTTCACACTTTGACTGTATTTTTTAAGATTATAACACATTTGAAGGTAAATAGTTTAATTTTTTTGTAGCATACAAACAAAGGAAACAGTGTTGAAGTTAAATTGTTGGAGCTACTATAGCTAATTGAACAGGGATTTGTGAGTGTTATTTATTCTATTAATTCGTCCTGTCATCAATATCTGTCGTTTTAGTTATACACATTAATATTATAGGGTTGACATAATATTTTATAGGCAAATAAAAAAAAAACTATAGAATAAGATGACCGATAGAGTCAATGCATGAACCAAATTAACAACAGATTACAGCTATGAAAAAACAACTTGTGGGCAATTAATGCATACAGAACCCAACCTTTTATTTCAGAATTTGAATTTTCTGTTTAACTTTTTATACTAATTAGTATTAATTATAAAGATTATGGTTAAATAAAATTAATCATTAAAACTTCATTTATTCTACCACAACAGATATTTGTTAACATAAATTCAGCAGAGAAATATACAGGCAATATATATCTGATTACAACTTAACTCGATCACCAACTTGTTGAGCTTATTAATTATGACAAGCTCACTGTGAAATAATAATAATAATAATAATAATAATAATAAAAATTATGAATTAAAAGCTCTTTGTATTTTTAATGTAATTATCATTTTTAACAAATTTATATTTTAGGCTATTTGACACATCATCTAACTAGTTTTAAATAACTTATTTTTTATACTACTTGCAAAGATTTTGTGACTCTATTAATAGGGTTTGATAAATAAACATTTTTTTAAGTAATTTGTAGCGTTTTGTTTAAACGATACTAGAACGAATGTTTTTTTTTTAACTTTATTTTTTTTCTCATTCACTGATGATGATTTTATTACCTCTTTTTTTTTACACAGAATAATATTTTTCATTTTTAACATTTATAAATAATATTTTGACAATAATAGAGAACAATTTTATTAACTAGATACTTTTATATTATAAAATTTATTTAACTATGATATTATTTTTAATATTTCACGATTATATATTTCGATGCATTAATATTAATATATGGTAGATTTGTTTTATTTTATTACTTTTGTGTTGCACTGTTTATTTGAACTATTTTAAAACATGCGTTAGTCTTCATTTTATTTTAAATTTGAAAAGGAATACAGTAAACTTTTGTACAGCATGAATAATAGATAATATATATAATTAATGAAAGTAAATAAATATAATCAAAATAATCTATCTAAAAATAACATATTATTATATTTTGGAACTAATTAAAATTTAAAAGTTGAAATTGAAAATATCCTTATATATTTAATACAAAAATAAAAAATAAAATCTTATTAACATATATCATTATTGTTGTAACTTATAGTTTATAAAATATTAATTTATAATCTAATAATTTTTTTTAGCTACTAGTAATTAGTTTTTCAGTTTTAACATAATTTTCATCTTTTCGTTCTCTTTGATTTATCTGTTTGGAAAATTACTCTTGTTCCTTAACCTGTAGGTGAGTTCTTAGAACAAATAATATATTTTTAGTAGCAGGGAAGATAGGTTTAAACAATCAAAGCTCAAAGTAAAGAAACTGTGCAAAACCATAAAAACCTAGGTGTAGCATAGGTGGAGAACAGAGTGAGGTTTATGGACATGTACGTTACTGTTACGTGTGTGCCATGAACTACACACGGTTGAAGCTATAGCTATGTATGCAGAAGAGATTTGAAACATAATTTGGCGTTGAACTTTGAGTCTGTGAACGTGGTCCTGTCCTGAGTAGTCGTTGGAGCAGTAAAGTGAATTTTAGAACTACGTCACCACATAACCCTAGCTACCACATATGAGTGATATAAATAACACACAACCTAACTGACCTAAGAAACGGTTCCGAGAGACTGAAGCAGAAGCAAAAGGTAACAACTATATGTGACTCTACGTAAACGGCGCCGAACAAATGGCCATGGACCATTCAGAGGGTACTTATTTGTTAACTTGGCCTCATCAAAATATCATAGTGCGCAGAGATTCTACATATAGAGAAGAGGTTCCTCTGATATATAGTATGTGAATGCATAGATGATTCTACACAGAGTTCTAATAATTAACAGCTAATGTCTAACACGTATAATAATACAAAACATTGGAAAAAAAAGATGTAGAAAAGGACCTAAAAACACGACAAGAGACATTGCTCAAAGAAAGTTGAAGTTTAAAAGAAGACTGCTCACTATTTTTGTCTTTTGCAAGTTTCCAGATATAGAATACGACCTAAGAAAGAGAAGCTTAGTTATTGCATAAAAATTTCTTCTGCGCCATTCCTGTGTAGATCTGCGTGCTTATTTGTCTGTTTCTTTGGCCTGACCAAACCAGGTTGTTTTCAGTGATATAGCTAATTCAATATCACACGATAGTACACACAACTGAAAAAATATGGTTATGTGAGGACTTTTTACAACGGTTGTAGCATAGAGAGCACATTTTTATAATAATATTATAAATTTTTTATGTCGATTATTATATAATTGACATGTGAATAAATTTATTTTCTATGTCGGATAAATTTTAACCGACATAAAAACTGTATATTAAATAAAAAAATTAAATATATAAATATACAAATATATAAATACATCAAAATATATAAATATATTTGTATTTATATATTTTGTATATAAATATAATTTATTTGTAAGTTATTTATTAAAAAATCATAATAGTTTAGTGGTTGGAGTATCGGTCTTCAACTCTAAGTACTTGTCTAATGACAAACTTCTAATAAATAATAAAATAATATATTATAAAGTATAATAAAAATATAATATAAAAGAAATGTAATTTTAAATAAATAAAAATTTAGTGGTTGGTTTAATTCTAGACTATAACGTATTGAGTTCGAATCTTACTAATATAAATTTTCATAAAAAGTTCATTACTTTCTATGTCGGTTCATAATAACCGACATAAAAAGTCATATTT